GGGCATAACTCTGTCAAAAATGGTGCGATCATACCCAAAACAAAACTTGACCTAGATATTTATCTGATAAATCTGAATACTAAATTTCATTTCAGTATGTACAACCTCTGTGAAGAAAATGAACGGGAACTGCAAATAATTGAAATTTTTCAAAGTCCAAGGGGCATAACTCTGTCAAAAATGGCGTGATCGTACCCAAAACGAAACTCGACCTAGATATTCAACTGATATACCGTATACCAAATTTCATTTCAGTATTCTCATTCGGAACATCATAGATAATGTTGTGCAATTGACTTGGTTTGTCTGCGCCTCAGCCAATCGCAAAAATATATTAAAGGAAGCAATGGCAAATGACTCGGACTTACTACAGCAAATAATAGAGGTGACTGAAGAGTATGATTTTAGTGGGAAACTACTACAAAATGCCGGAAATAAGCAGTCTCTCCAACCTCTTAGTGAGACACGATGGACAGCCCGAGTGGACTCATTATCTGCGATTATATCTAATTATTCAAATCTCCATAATGCGTTAATAACAATTGAGGAAAACAGTAGCGGGGAGTCAAAGGTTAAAGCTGGTGGTCATAGACGATTGCTAGAAGATCCTGAATTTAGAATGGGGATAACAGTTGCGCAGTACGTTTTGTCGTATCTTAAACCTTTGACACTCTCTCTTCAGAAGACAGATTGTGATATGGTCATTGCATTTGATGAGGCACAGAACACCTTGACTACGATACGAACACTTCGAACAGACGAAAAATTTGCTCTCAAGTTTTTCAAAGAGCTCAAATTCTTACAGATAGTATTGAAGTGTTGTTGCAACCTAGATGGAGGACTGGACGACAAGTACACAGAGACAACCCAAATGTGAACACTGCAGGACAGCTTTGGAGAGCAACGATATATTACGCGTTTTGGACCATGTCTGCACTGAACTTGAAAGGAGATTTCCAACAGACCAGCGGCAAATGATGTTGGGTCAGTATTTAGTTCCATGCAAGTTTAATCAATTGAAGGACTCCATGATCGATGACCTGAAGGAAGTTTTTGGGACAGACCTACCTGATTCAGATAACTTGAGCCAAGAAGTTACAAGATGGAAAATTAAATTCCAAGACCAGGAAGATGTACCAAGAACTCTTCAGGAAGCTTTAACTCAGGCTCATTCTGACTTCTATCCAAACATTAGACGTATTTTTATCATTCTAATGACATTATATAAATGGTGCCTGTTTTGGAGGGTAACAGTTGAAATTGACACCCCATGGAAAACCATTGTCAACCGACGCGTGTGGAGGTTGACAATGTTTTCAGAGGGGTTTTGTTTGCTGTTCAACTGTTACCCTCCAAAACAACCATTTATTTTATTATACTGAATGTCTTCTTGATTTACTATGTCAGCAAAACAAATCGTCGATCGCCTTTTCGTTCACGTTTAGAAAGCTTTCAAACTCCCCGCTTCTTCGAAAAAGATATACTGACCTCTTTATTGTTTATTTGATACTCTACGAGTCCTTTATCATCTAAAGTTTCGTTATTTCTGCACTCGCAAGCATGTTTCGTCTGTCGTTTGTTGTTTTAAAGTAAGCTACATCGGACGCAAGCTTTTATTGACGTCAAGTTTATTCCGGTTCTTTCAAACGCGCAACTGACGTTTTAAGAATTCTATGGTGAACCGTACGCGCATAATTTCCACGCATGTGGCATTACCGTTGTGTTACCCGTTGTCACGTGTGTTGCTAAGGCTGAGGGTAATAGAACAGATTGTTAACTGCGACTAAACCAATCAGATTTTAGTATTTAACATGAAAGTATAATAATACCAGTTACCAGTGTTTGCTGCGAAAGATCATTTTCGTCTTTACGAAGACTGAAAACCTGGGAGAGAGAAACGATGGGAGGGGACAGATTGTGTGGCCTGGCGCTTTTACATGTGCATAGAGATAAGTCTGTAAACAGGGAAAATATTCTCAAGAGGTTTGATGAAACTGGACATAGAAAAATTGGTCAGCTACAGTTCGATAACCAGTAATAAAAATTATACATCATGTAAAATTTTTATTACTGGTTATCGAACATCACGTAAAAAAACGATACAATTTGAAAAATAAACACAGAAAACATTAAAGTTTAATCTTTATTTTTGCGAAAACCCAGGAGCTTCCGGGGGGCTTCGCCCCCCTGGTCCCCCCACCAGGGCACTGCCCTGGACCCGCTGGGGACCTAGGCGGACCCCAGACCCCTTGCCTCACTAATAATATAAGTCTAGTTACGGCCTTGAAATTTTGTTGTTGTTTTTAGCTTCACCTCAACGAAGTTGGGGGAGCTCATGTAATACCCTCGGCGTCGGTGTCGGCGTCCCGGTTTAAGGTTAAGTTTTTTGGAGCAGTTTTCTTTCTTTAGTACTTTTATGTCCTATATTGATTAGACATGCATGGAAGATGTTTCTAGTGTGTTTCATTGTACCAGTCAAAGTTTCAGATGCTGTAATTTCAGGAAAGGAATGAACAGGTTAATGTTTTTGGAGCAGGTTAATATTTTTGGTGCAGTTTTTGGTGGTCTCATTTCCGAGTAAGTGTAAGCCCTATGTTGAGCAAACTTGCAGGGATGGTACACTTTAGGATGCACACTACAAGGCTTGCTTCGGATGCTGAATCTGACCTACATTTTCCGCATGAGTGAACAGGTTTGTTTTCGGTGCAGGTCTCATTTCCAAGTAACTATGAGCACTATAGTGACCAAACTTGCATGGATAATACATCTAAGGATGCATACTACCAGACTTGCTTCGGATGCTGAATCTTACATTTTTCGGTTGAGTGAACAGGTTAAAGTTTTGGGTGCAGGTTTCATTTCCAAGTTACTATGAGCCATATAATGACCAAACTTGCATGGATGGTACATCTTAGGATGCATACTACCAGACTGTTTCGCATGCTGAATCTGACCTACATTTTTCGGTTGAATGATCAGGTTAAACTTTATGGTGCAGGTTTCATTTCCAAGGTACTATGAGCCCTATAATGACTAAACTTGCATGGATGATACATCTTAGGATGCATACTACCAGACTTGCTTTGGATGCTGGATTTTAATTACGTTTTCATGATGAAGAACTAGTTTGAAGTTTTTATACAGGTCGATCTATTCCAAAGTATCAAATCAAAATTGCATAAATTTTGCATTTTTGGATGTACACTTTTTGTTGGTTGTGTGACTTTGCCATATTTAAAGACAACATTCATTGAGGTGAGCCCTGTAATCTCTGATTACCTATGTTTTTTGGGTAGATACTTAAATAAAATAGGTTGTTTTAAATATTTGATTGAATCACTTTTGATTCAAATGTTGTGCAACTCATAGAAAAATCCACTCTTTACATAAAGTAATGTACTAAATAGGAAGAACTTTTTAATACTGTTATCTGCAATTATCAAAAATATGCCATATATGGCTTTAAGGAATTCCCCCCCCCCCCTCCCCAAATAATTGAATTCTAAATCCTCAAACTTTTTATCTTGTAAATTTTAAGTACCTGTCATTCTGAATTTGTACACTTCTATAAATTATTGCCAGTTGTAAATAAGTGTGGATTAGTGTGTAGATGACTCTCCAGATTTTATTTATGGAGATGCCACCACTTGCCGGTTCGAGAGATGCAAATTTTGATCTATACTTGGCACTCAGGGCCATTGAGCAGTGAGGAATCTTTTTTGTGCCAGCATCTACTGTGACACAGGGCCATGGTTTATACGATCTCATAAAAAGGAATGGTCTCCATGTCCCACAATGGGATTTGAACCCATGACATAAGGATCGACTCCTTACTTTCCAATTTTAGAGCAGACGCTCTACCACTGCACCACATGGGTGACTAGGGTCAATTGATACTGAGGACAACAGCATAATCAAAGGCCTGAAGGGCCTGCGAGTTGACTCGCTTGAGTCAATTGAGCTTTTCAATACATCTGGGCACCATACCTTAATATATTTAGTTTATTTTGCATCTTCAGAGATTGAATATTATATGTCTGATCCATGTTCGGTTCATAAATAAAGTGTATATTGCTTTTCCTTTATATATACAGGTTGGCACTCATGGGCTTCCGTATTATTTTGACTGGATTCTATAATAAATTTAAGCACATTAGCTGAAGTGGTCAGTGTGAAGTAATTAGGTTAAAGATTCCCACAGCAAATCTGGATTCTGAAAATAGATTTTCAACAACAACTAGCTGCAGCTAATGAGAGCAACAGGTGTTTGTGAGAGGGAGTATTCTAGGTCAATTATAAATAAACTTCAGATGGGAAGATTAGATCTGCCTAACATGCTTGAACATATATTCATACGCAGTAATTGTACATCGTACAGGATTTAATCAAAAATTTCTTTAAAAGCATGAAGGCATAAATAATGTTACAGTATGAAATTTTATACAGTTTTTACCTCTTAAGTTTATACAATCACTCAAACCAAAGCATTTTTTGCTAGAACTATAATATTTGGCGTATGGATCACCTTGATGAATGCGTGATAAATTTTACAGCTCTGAAACGGCTATGTCGACATGGAGTAGCTCGCTACGCGAGCCAACTCAAAAACAAGTTTCCTCAATTAAGGTTTCATCAAAGGTCAACCTGTCCAAAAATTTACTTTTACAATAGTTAAACAATGATATATTTATAAACTGTAAAAAGTTCTAACTTTATACCTCACATTGTTTTGGAGCTATTGTAAAAATAATTTTTGGACATGTTAACCTTTGATGAATACATAACATACTTAATACATAACATGTGTAGAGATTATTAACATTACAGAGTGGTCAGCATTCCCTGGAAAATAGCATACTTATAAATCAAGGCAACAGTTAATCCTTATGCAAATTATGTCACATATCTGTTTCACACGGGACAAATTGACAAATACAACTAACACACAAAAGCACATTACTATATCCCCTCAAACTTTGCTGGGAGGAAAAAAAGGAAAATGCATTCTGAAAATTTTAATCTGTTTAAAATCAGTATACATGTACATGTAAAAATTTTAAAAGTGCTTTGACATGTGAAGTTTTATCATTTTATTGATGTTAAGCATGGCCCCGTCTGTGACAACATTTATTTACCGCCAGAGCTATTTATTACATTGGACCCTGTTCATTTGGGAATATGGAATATCCCAAAACATTATTTGAAACTTTGCAATGGTTACATTTTAAATTTAAAAATTCATCTCAAAATTATTTTGAAGTCTGCAACAGATATGAAGTTTATAATAAAATTATGATTAAATTGACATTTACAATGTAACTCATCTTTCAGTACTCTTAGTACTTTGATTTTATTGAATATCAATTATTTTTCATTGATACATGAGCAATTTGTCATAAAAATTCAATACAAAACCAGTCTGTAAAATGCAGCAGCACGAACATTTTGTATAAAACTAAGACCACTTTCACCTAATATTACACTCAGATAATCAAGTGAACAATCTTTGTCCACAACTGACACAAGCTGCCGTCACTATTATAAGCCACCGTGCTTTACCTAAATTATTTTTCTATTGAACACAATTTTTTGTTGTTTTTTAATTTTGGTTGAGGAAGAAAGCAATAAATAGGTGATCAATAAACTAAAGAATTTTTAAACTGGTGTTAGGTTGGCAGTTGTCCATGATTTTACATATTTTCTTCTTTAAATCACAAAATTTGATCCCCACAAAAAGTAGTGAAATCAAAGTATAGATATGGATTCTTCCTCTCAATAGAAATGTTTGTATCATTCCTATTCTTCAGTCCTGCTCACTTCTAGCTCGTTTGGCAGCGATTTCTCTATCCTGAAAAAGAAGATGTTTTCTTAAACTTCAAATACATATTTTATAACCATCTTTTTTAATGGTTAAGCAGTTTTTACATTATCACAAGACACTTAATATGTCTGTGCCTTTACAATCAATGGAGTAATGTTTGATTAAAGAGATTTATCAAGTTTTTAGCTTTCACATAAACTTGGTCTTTCAATTAATTTTGACTTTTTTATTGACCATCCAAGCAATATGTTCATTAATGACAAAGGTGAAGATCATGAAACAATGATAAAACTCTCAAGGAGGTTTGACCTTGCAATCAGTAGCCTAGAATTTTTTTGTAATTATAAAGTATATTTTTCATATCTGTATACATAGCTTCATAAAAAATCAAAACAGCTATTGGGGGTTGGTCAATCTTGAATTGTTTGGTACTCTAATTAAACTTTGCTCACAAATAACTTTTACAAAGCTTTTTCCTCTCATATAAATAATATAGTCCTTGTGTTGCATGGACACATTGAAAATTGTGACAATTAAAGTTCAAAAAGTGCAGAATCAATTATATGAACCATTTTTTGCATTTAAACTTTATTTACGAGTCATGCAGGAGATTTGCTGGACAGAATTGCTCTGCCTCCAAAAAATGCAGCAATAGGAGGAATTTTCAATTTATCTCAATTTCAAGGCCAGGAGGGCCATTATGATAACTGTTTTGTGTAATGTTCTGTTATCGAGCTAGAATATGTTAGAAACAAAAGTTTTTAATATTTTGGGATGGCAATTTAAATATATGCTGAAATTGAGCAAGAGACAGCTTATTTTTTGTGCACAATAAATACACACTTTTATAGCAATTAATGAGTGACACTGCAGTTTTACGGTCATATCAATCTTTTTTTCAACAGTGTTTAAGCCATGCAAGTTTAAATCTGTGATGTTAACAACTCTTTATACATTCAGATCTGGTCAGACAATGTGTTTCAAATTAGTGAAAACATCCAGTCATTTGTGTACCACTTACTGTTCCAAACTGGTAAAAGTGGGGAGCCATTTCACACAACCAATCTGGTTCAATCACTGTAATGTCTCTCATGTAATCTTTATTTGTCTGGACAACATCATTAAATACTACCCTGAAACAAAGTAAAAAATTAGGCTAAAAGTTATGATGGGGACTAGTCTAAGTATAAACAAAATTGGAATATATCCCAATCAGGGGATAATATCCTGGTCAGGCTGTATATCCACAATCAGGATTTTTCATGCCTTAATGTTTTTTTTTCACATTTAGAAAAAAAACTTTGATTCCAAAAAAAAGGCCACATGTCCTCTCCACTTCTTCATATATCCTTATAAATTGAAATGTAAAGGATATAATATTCATGGCAATACATGTACATGTATAAATTTCAAGGTTCTCAAACAGAACATTCAATTCTAAAAGTCAAACAAAAAACACAAAAGCCAAGAGTTAATGTTTAAGATAAATTAAAAGGGCTAATATTTTGTTGATAATTAGATTACCTGTATGTTTACACAGACTTGTTTTATTGATAATTTGTTAGAACCCCATGAACTAAAACAAAAGCATTTCAGTGACTGTTTACACATTTCATTTTTTGGCAGATAGTAAATCTAGTACATGTACTACATGTACTGACTTCCCACTCTTTCATATCAATGCTTTCTCCACATTGCTTAACACTTTTTTTTCGGTTCAAACTTTTCTGGCACATTCATGAACCAGACAACTGTGTTTTTAATGCCCCCCCTCCCCCCTTATAGATTTGGGGACCTAACATTTTTTGCTCTGTTGATCTGTCCATCTGTCATCCTTTCTGTATGTTTGCCTGCAAAAATGTTAACCTTGGCCATACCTTCCAAAACATTTGACAGTTTCACCTTGATATTTGTCCATATTTTGCCACGGCCATAACTTTTGTAAGGTTGGAGCTAGAGCTTCATATGTATTCCCTTTGACAAGACCTTTCCTTGGAAACATTTTAGTTTTGACCCTCTGATTGTGACCTCAGAGTTTGACTTACTTTTGCAAATTTACCAAATCTTAACCATATTTTGTGAATGGTTTGCGACAGGGCTCTCTGAGATTCATATTTTGCAAGCGTGTTCCTTATGATAAAACCCTTGATTTCTCAGCTCTATGGAGAACTAGAAACACAACATCCAATACTTTTGAGTGGAATAAACAAAAGTTTAATCTTTAAAAAAAAGTTGTGAAATGATGGGAGTTCATTGTACCTCTTCAGTACAGGAACCTGCCATTAATTTTCCTAACCTTGGCTTTAAGACCCCGTATCTAGACATATTAAAAAGTAATTACATCCATCATTATTAAAACAAGGATTTTAATATTCATTGCAGATATCATGTATTTCCTTGTGACCTTCAATACATTAGAAATATACAATTACAGCAAGATAACTTAGTTAGGACATTTTCTCACATAGATTACTGTTGTTTATTTGAGAAAACAGAAGTACTGGAAAAGAATTTTATCGATACATGTAATATAGATAGGCCACTGAGTTAGTATCTATGTGAAAAAATAATCACTATCAGATGCCCTGTGTACTTTTTCTAAAGTGTGTATAGAAAATGTAGCAGAATTATATGTATGCTTATTTTAAAATAGAAGCTATCATTGGACATTTGAGGCTGTTTTTCCACACACTATTTTTTAAAATTGAAGTGTAAATCTCTTGTTTTGATCACAGTATAATAAACATGTTTGTTGACATGAATATTGTAAGTAAAAATAACAGATTATATATAATAAACAAATATTTAAAAAAAAATAATTAAGTGGGGATAACACTTAATTATTATTATTTTTTTTTTTACATCTGCAGGGAGTCCTTGACCTTTTAAGATATGGTCATAAAAATCAGCAGGAATCATCCTAATAACCTTTGCAATTATCAATGCTTATCAAGTAAAAAGTCACCCAACAGATCAATTTGAATTCCAAATACCATTTGGAAATACATTTGTCATCTAAATGATGGTGCCCTTGACCTTTTCTGACAGAGCCTTAATTAAAGTATTTTGTAACCAATATCTTTATTAGTCCTTTACATGTAGACAGCATGTAGCAAAGAAGTCTGAAGAAGGCAAAACAACTTGACATTAACAAGCAATAATGTTAGATAAGCGTACCATTTTGGTGGGTCTGTAAAAGTGAGTACTGATGTAGGATGGATATGAAGTTCATGGTCATCTCTGACTGATCTGTAGACCCCTGTATAGTGGAGGTAGGCCGCGTTGGCAAAGAACCCCGAGGTTATACAGCGCCTTATCTGATTCACATCATCTACAACAGCATAAAAGGAAACTACCGATGTAGTTTTATTACATTCAAACATATTCTCCTTTTCACATTAGGTCAAAGGTCAAGGTCATAGTAAGAGAGAGTCTTAGGATGTGGGTTATCTTAAGTCTTGCCTTTCATTTGTTTTACTGTGAACATTAACAATCATTTCCATGTAAACTTGTTACGTGTAACAGATGATTTATAATGGTATTGATTACAGGACCTGTGACCTGACCTTAATGTTAAAGAGGTAAGTCTACCACATGACATTGAGGCATGACAGGTAAATGAAATTTAAAATACTTAAGAATGAAATGATGAAGAGAATATCTAATCAAGATTTTAGGATGAACAGTCGGCCATGAAAACTGACTCTTCTTTATTGAGCCCTACAGAATCCACTTCAACATCTAAAGTCTTCCCAGTCACGGATTTACATCACACTCTTGTACTATCAGTCATCTCAGGCTAAAGTTAGGGTAGTCAGGAAATTAATTATTAAGATTTTTACAGAATCTTAATTACTTGCAATTTATCATTTGCCAAATTTTTGGAAATCTTCCAGAGTCTGATCAGGATTAAGTAGAATTAATTCCATAAAGCACCCCTTCCCTAAAAGCCATGTTGTCAAGTGCAACATCCTACTTTATATGTATCATGTTCCAAAGGTTGTTTGAAACAATATAATTTTAGAAAATTGACATAGAGAGGGTCATTGAGTATTTAAGATTGCAACTTAAGTAATCAAATAAAAAGTTTTGCACAGTGTGAAGAGATAGTATGTTTATTAAATAAAATTTTAATATACAGCCCAAGCTTGTGTTAATAAACATTTTTTTCAAGTTCAATGATTACCTTGTACTCTGATAACCTTCTGTTAAGAATATAAATTTCTAACATTTTTAATGTTTCCAGAGGAGGGTAATATTATGGCTGGTAAGTGGAAAAAAGAATTCAAAATATCTTGCGAAAAAAGATTATTATTGCAATTTTTCCCAGATGAATGTAATTCATGTATAATACTCTAAACCCTATGCAACAGCTTAAACAAGTGGTATTGTTATTCATAGAAAAAAAGTTTCCTATATCTATACTTAAAGGCAAATGGCCACAATGCTCACCTGAGTCACTCTGGCCCAGTAGTTTTTCATCAGCTAATTTTCCCTTTTAATTTCATTAAAAAAAATTACTCTGTATTTTTGACCAAAATTTAGCTTCAAGATATTTATTTTATCAGTTTTAAGTGCCTTTTTTGTCAAATTTTGCCCCGCAAGCCATGCTATAATTTTTTGTATTTTATTCAGCATTATATACATTTCCTTTGGAAAAACATAAAAGTTAAAGAAAAATTTCATGAGTGAGCAGAGGGTTTATGAACCTTAAAAATGCTTTTCTTCAGATGGTTCTTCAGTGGTCACAATTTAATCAAACTTGATTTAATTTACACTATGTAATAAATTTCTTTTCTGATCTAGTATTTCTTGAGAAGATTTTCAAAAGATATGCCATTAAATTTTTACTGATTCTTAATTATCTCCCATTAAAGGTTGTTGTAGCACTTCATTTGATCAAACTGAATCACTTTCATCCAGGGGTATTCTGTGCCTAGTTTGTTTGAAATATGCTATAGTGGTGATTCTGAAGAAGATGAAATTGTTAAAAGTTTACAACAATGTCAACAACAAAGTCAGAAAAGCTTTTGGCTCAGGTGAGCTAAAAATTCTAATATTTCCAATAAAAGAGAGGGATGGGTCAGTAAGAGGTTGAACCTGTCAGAGTTTTGGTGGACCACTATAATTTTTTTTAAATATTATCTTCTACTCAGAGTGATCATCAAACATGTCATTGATTCAATTTTGTTTTAAAATGTCAACTTGCATTTCTGTGAACTTGACAATCTGAGTGAGTTCAAGATTTTGATTTCCAAATGCGCAAATCAGTGTACGATTTGTATCAGAATTTTTACATATATAGGTATAAGAAAATTGAAAACAGTTTTGGGCAAAATGTTTGTAGCACCCTTGTCCAAACACTATTGCATTCATCTTTTAACCAAATGCATGATCTCCCTGAACACAATCAATAAATGTAAACTGTCCCAAAGACATGTAACACAAGCCTTATCACTCAAAACCTGTCCATTAGTTTCTTGTGACAGAGATAAAGTTGCCTTCACACTCATGGCCATTAGCAAGGTGTCCATTACACTACAGTCACTTGTTCAAGAGTAATGCATTTTAAGACAATGTACAGGTATATGTCCCCAAACCTGCAGTCAGTGAGGTCAAGGACATCAATAGATTTTTTCCAATATATTCCTATGTAAAACATTGATCCCCAATTGTGGCCCAACCTTAACTTCCATAATTTATATCTAATTATGACCTTGCAATATTTGAAAGGATGGTTGTTTAAGATTTTTTCCTTTATGTTCGTACATAAAACTTTGACCCAATACTGGGGCTAAAGAAAGGACTATATTTGATAATGACCAATATTTGCTCCCAAAATCAAACTTTGATGGAGAAATATATAATTATGTTCTAAAACAGGGGGATATCTGCAGACTTCAAAGCACTAAATATTTTCATACGTCAATTCTTTGAAGATTTTATTTCTAAGTGGATCTTAAAAAATAATATTTTTAAATGATGCAACAACTGCTAATTCTTAATTATCTCCCCCTTGAAAGAGAGTGCAATGTGCATGGTCCTTCATTTGGCCCAGAGGTTCGATCTGGAAAAAAGTTCACAAGCGGACGGACAGACAGATGGAGAAAATTTGATCATAAAAGGAGTATGAATCACCCTGCCAAGAATGAAAGAAAAAGTGAAAAAGCTCACATACCCCACGCTCCCCATAAATTAAAAGTGCTGAAAATCCCAGAAAAAATAAAAGGAATCGGAATTTCCCAGTAATATGCACATCTACACATTGTGTCCTAAATATCTGCAAAATTTGATGAAATTCTGTGCAGCGGTTTATGAGGAGTTGCGCTGACAAACTGTTAATTGCTATATTCAAAATGTATCCCCAAAAATCTAAGTTGAAAAGTGCCAAAATTCCAAGAAAAATAAAGGATTTAGAATTTCCTGGTAATATGCACATCTACACATTGTGTCCTAAATATCTGCAAAGTTTGATGAAATTCTGTGCAGCGGTTTAAGAGGAGTTGCACTGACAAACTGTTCATCTCTATATTCAAGGTATGGCCAAAAATCTAAGTTGAAAAGTGCTGAAATTATCGGGAAAAATAAAGAAATCGGAATTTACTGGTAATATGCACATCTGCACACTGTGTCCTAAATATCTCCAAAATTTGACAAAATTCTGTGAAGCAGTTTAAAAGGAGTTGTGCTGACAAACTGTTCATCTCTATATTCAAGGTATGGCCAAAAATCTAAGTTGAAAAGTGTGGAAATTCCCGGAAAAAGTAAAGGAAGGGATTTCCTGGTAATATGCACATCTACACATTGTGTCCTAAATATCTGCAAAGTTTGATGAAATTCTGTGCTGCAGTTTAAGAGGAGTTGCGCTGAGAAACTGTTCATCTCTATATTCAAGGTAAGGCCAAAAAAACCCAAGTTAAAAAGTGCGGAAATTCCTGGAAAAAATAAAGGAATCAGAATTTCCTGGTAATATGCACATCTACACATTGTGTCCTAAATATCTGCAAAGTTTGACGAAATTCTGTGCAGCGGTTTAAGAGGAGTTGCGCTGACAAAAAACAGGACTGATGACTGACTGACTGACACGCTGACTGACTGACGGGTCAAAAACATTATACCTTACTTGAGTGGAGTATCAAAATATGCATAAAAGCCTTCAACTATTTTGAAGTTAGAATGTGAACATTTTACCTTTTGTCACCTTCTATTGAGTTTTCTCTGTCTATATTGTCTAGATTGGAACTCTTTCAAGAAGAACCTAAATTGTATTCATGACAATGTTATGCAAATCATATATATCTGAAGACCTATAAAAACTACAAATAAAGGAAGAGCTTTTTAGCAAATCGATAAGGTACAACGTCTTCACTCATGACCTATTCCAATTGAAATATGTAATTGGACCTCTTGAGCTCAGTGCAAGGGGGGGGGGGGGGGGGCTCCTTTTTTAACCATTATACATTTTAATGTTACGGCTATACACGTCCAACATCTCTAATATTCCAAATATGTTATGCTTGTGCTCATGCAGTGCAGAGAACAGAATTTTGTTTTAATAACCATTATACATTTTAATACCAAAGCTACGGAAAGGATATATGATTTGCCTGTTGGGTCTGCTGAGAAAATATATTAAAGGTAATTACCCTCTTGTAATCATTAGCAAATATGCCAGCTTCAAAGTTGATTATACTCACATGAAATCCTCTTAGTACCTTAACTCTGTACAATTCAATCATCTTGTATGATACAAAACTTTCATAATTATATCTTCCACATTAAAAAAAATCTTTCGAGGTTATTCTACATATAAAATAATTCAGATTCAATACACACTGACTGGACCTTTAAAGGCCAGTAAGACCAAGGACTAAAAATTAATTTCCCAAAGAAAATCTGAAGGTACAACAGAAATCATCTTTTAAAGTGAAAAACTTTTGTTCAATGCTAGCTTATAATTTGCAGAAAACAGCTTTTACCGTTTAAAGTAGAACTGAACTAAGAGATCAGGGAGAGAATTTAAGTGCGACAGTCACACCTAGAAAGGACCAACTTCAGCAAAACTTGGGAGCAAATAAACACAAAACAATGATATTAAGTAAGACATGACTTGTCCTTTACACCTAAAGCTGTCAATACCACATCCCAGCTACATCAGAGCTGTCAGCCACATCAGTTATTGACTTAAAGGAGAAAGGACCATGTCAACTACAGGACACCCTATTGACCTATCAGGTATAATCAAATTACCCCAGCCATGGGTATAAAATTGTAAAACATGGTCAATTTCATACTCTGAATTTGAACATCATGCATGTAGATAATTCTTGA